GAAGGCAGCCTCGCCGGACAAAGGGGAGAGGGAAGATGTGGGCGCCATACCTTCATATGGGGTCTGCCCGTAGGTGAAGACTTCATAGAGTAGGATCCCGTAGGACCAAACATCGGACTTCAGCGAGTAGGTGTGGTAGTTTGCTACTTCCGGGGCTGTCCACTTCACGGGGATTTTGGTGCTGCCACTGGTGGAATAAATATCGTCCTAAAAGGCAGCAGGAGATGGGCTATGAGCAGAAGGGAAATAACAAACACAATCCCTCCCTGTCAAAGGCATGGGAGCAGGAGAGGCCTAGACTGTTATCTCAAGTAACCTCAGCTGGTCCCTCATTTTAATTCCAACACAGATTTGGCAGAGCTCCAGGCAAGTTGTATCTTGCCACATGCGCTGTAGCTGGAGACCTTGTTTGGAGACCTCGCTCTAGCGCAGGGGTGGGCAATCATTTTCACAGAGGGGCCACTTAATGAATTTTGGGATGTGGTCAGGGGCCGGCTCCACCCCCAGAAGGGGCGGAGCCTGGGACAGAAGAGGCGGGGCTAGGGACTAGCTTCCCTCCAGAGTTGTCTGGAGCTGGAAGCTTTGAATTAAAAGCTCAGTCAAAGGGCTCGCAGATCCTGACCCTGCTGTTACCGCGTTGCCTGGCAGCCGTTTGGGGTTGCTGTTGCTATTTAAAGGGATCACAGCTCCTGCCCCTGCCAGGTTAGACCCATGAGCCATTTAAATAGGACATGGGCAGCAGGATATAAATAGAAAGCAGCCGGACGTAGTCCATGGGCCAGATCAAAGTGTTAGGTGGGCTGGATCTAGCCCCAGGGCCACATCTTGCCCAGCCGTGGTCTAGTGGTAGCTCTGCACATTGTCAGCCTGGATTTCCTGGTGCTAGGTTCTCATCTTCAACTCAGGTCTGGACTGAGAGTGCAGGGAGGCGAATCAGTGTTTGGGAAGAGGTGGGGTTGACTGTTCTGTATTACCCAAAGGGAACCTCCCCAGCCGGTGAATCAGCTGTCTCTAGGTCTAACCAGCTGGTAGAACGGCATCACCTTGTAAAAGCCTCAAGGGTGGGGCTAGAGGTTCCAGCGTGAACTGGCCCTTTGGAAGTAGCCGTCCCTTGGAGACAGGAAACGTGGACATAAAAGGACCCATAGCTTCCAGCAGACCGACCTTGAGGAGCCTGGCGAGTCCAAAATCGGCGATTTTGCAGGTGAGGTTGTCTCCCACCAGTATGTTCCGAGCTGCCAAGTCCCTGTGGACGATGTGCTGTTCTTCAAGGTAGGTCATCCCATCGGCCACCTGGCAAGCAATGCTGATCAGGTGGAGTGTGCGCAGAGCCTTTCCTTCCAGACCTGTTAACCCAGCAAGCAAGGGACCAAAATCACTCTCCGGTTTAGGCTGATCCAGTAAAACCCTCACAAAAGCCTGTTGTGGACTCAGCACAGCCTCGTCGGAACAGAGACCTGCCACTAGGAACTGACAAAATAAACCCCCGTGGCATGATTGGGTGCAGCCTCCATTACGTGGCCCCCGTTTCTGCAAAGTACACGCTTAACTTGGAACTAAGGGGTCCCTGCCTATAGCGTTAAGCACGTGTTTCAGTGCTTGGCCGGCTCGGGCCCCTGTGAGCTCTGAACAGCGAGGAAGCTGGTCTTCAGAAGGAGTTCACGGTTAAGAGAATGCACCACGCAGCCTAACTCGCAACTGGGAATTGTGTTTCAGAGCCCATCCTACAAGGGACTGGCTGCAACTTGGATAGAAAAGCCCTGCTGGCTCCGGAACCCAAAAGTAGATCACATTCATCAATGGAGGATGTTGCCGAGGAAAAAACAGGTCCCAGCTGGGAGACTTGGCTCCCTAACAACTATTTCCTGGGTGGAAGGAAAGTGAAAGAAAAGAACCAGAGACGTAAATTCCATAGGCATGTTCTTTGGGATGTTTCAGGCTGACTCATCAAGATGGCGGCCAGAGACTTGCCCTTTTCACAGTTTCACACGCCAGTGCCCCAGGGATAAGTTTCGGTCTTTTGCTTCCAACAGAGGTGGTGACTGAGCAGACAGGAGAGGTGAAAACTCACTCTCCCAGTTCTTGCATGACACAGCCCCCTTTGGAGTCTCTGCACAACGGAGCAGCACTAACCGTTCAGCCATTTGCACAGTGCGAATGTCTCAGGGCATGTCTACACTACGGAGAAGATCGACCCGCTGGAGGTCGATCTTCTAGCGTTCGATTTAACAGGTCTAATGTAGACCCTCTAAATCGAACGCTGAGGGCAGCCCCAGCTGGCATCCAGAACGTCTCCTTCTGTGAGGAGTAAGGGAAGACAGCGGGAGCTCATGCTCCCATCAGCCTCCTGCAGTGTGGACACCGTGGCGACTCGGCTTAAGTTAAGCCGAATCCAGCTACGCATTTTGTGTAGCTGGAGTTGGGTACTTTAGGCTTCTCTGGCTGGTCAAGTATAGACCAGGCCTCAATTTGCCATGGCAACTCTGCTTAGGGCACCAAGCGATGCCAGGCATTCAAACCTGCGTGAGCTTTGAGGAAGCCTATACCTGGTGTACACACACAAACAGCTCCGCTTTCACTACCCTGGTATAGTTTGGGCAGTACCACCTCCATAAAGGAAGGGGAATAAACTGTACTGAAATAAGGCCGCATTTTAATGCGATAGTCCACACAAGGTACTGCCCTGGTATAAATAGCTCAGCAAAGCAATCACCCCAACCAAGCTAGTTATACCAGCACCAAACACTCTGTGTAGATGTTCAGATCCGCGTGCTCAGAACGACGGCTGCTTTTCTGCGATGAGGCCTGTTATAGGTGGTAGGGGCCAGGGCTTCTATAATAGGTTTAACATTTAAAATGGCGAATTGTCCCTGGTCGATTGATGGTGAATTGCACTGCATAGCAGGTCCCGGGGCCAAATTTGGCTTTCGCTTACCCTGGGGTAAGCATGGAACTGCTCCACTGAGTAACTGAGAGCAGAACTAAGTGGCCTGCCTCTTTTGACCTTAGGCTATGTCTATACTGCGCTGTTTTGCGCAAGTAATATGCAAATGAGGTGAAGCGTGGAATATCGCTGTGCCTCATTTGCATAATTAACGAGTGGCCACTTTTTGCGCAAGAGGCTTTTGTGCAAAAAGGAGCCTTCTACACGTCTCCTTTTTGTGCAAAAACCCCTCTTGCGCAAGAGCCATTCTTCCTGAAAAAATGTGAAAGAACGGCTCTTGCGTAAGAGGGGGGTTTTTGCACAAAAAGGAGCCGGGTAGAAGGCTCCTTTTTGCGCAAAAGCCTCTTGTGCAAAAAGTGGCCACTCGTTAATTATGCAAATGAGGCACGGCGATATTCCATGCGTTACCTCATTTGCATATTTCTTGCGCAAAACAGCGCAGTATAGACATAGCCTTAGTGTGTGGTTGCTGTTTTCATTGAGGCCCCCCTGTTGGGCCTCCCCACCCATTTGAGGCGCTCTCAAGTGCTCCGAGACTCCAGTCCCCAAAGCGGCTACCACACAAGTGTGGGGCGAGGCCTAGGCGCGGACCCGCGGGGCGCTAAGCAACAAGGGCAGGGCGGTACTGACTGCTGAGGTAGCTCTGCAGGTTGCCTTTCCTCATGAGTTCCGTGACGATGTACAGGGGCTCGCCCACCGAGCAGACGGCATGGAGCTGGATCAGCCTCTCGTGCTTCAGCCGCTTCAGGTTCTGAATCTCTTTGGTGAAATCTTCCGCCTTCATGTCGGCTGTTGAGGAAACCGAGACATTTCCGGGGTGAGTAACTTTCTCGCTACGTTCATCCCTGCCATTCCTAGCCTGGCTTCTCCACGAGGCTGCTAAGGTTCACTTTCTGGACTTTCCACCCTCACTCTTGGCTCTTGCACCCCATTCCCTCACTGCTCATTAACAAGAACGTGTACTGAGGTGGTCCTTGTTAGGGCTTAGGTGATACTTTTCAGGTAGCCGCTGACTGCAGCAGGGTCTTCCACCAGGGGTAAACCCGACCCCAGGGGTACACAGGGCTCTTCCAGGGTCTACATCAACTCATCGAGATATTTATTTAGTTTACAGCAGGCTACATAAAAAGCCCTAGTGAAGTCAGTACAAAATAGAATTTCCTACAGACAACGCCTTGTTTACACTGCTCTGTATACTATACACCGAAACGCAAACAATATTTATGTTCCAGTTGATCGAATTGATAATTATGTGGTGAAAATGAGAAAGTCCACAATGTTTCAGGGACAGTGCGCTGTGAGACTTGTATTTCTGTGTCTGATTTTTGTAAGCCAGTTGCCTTTATATGAGGGGAATCTTGGGGGGACGCAAGACAAATCAGATGCCTGAAAGGGGTACAAGAAGGTTGATACTCCCTATTCTACTCACCATGAGGCCTCCAGGCTGATGGGGGAGCCATTTTGTAAAGTCCTCCGCATGGGCGGTGGGTGAAGGGAGGGCTAGGGGAGGCAAGTCCTAACCTTGCTCCCAGCCCCGCCCCTTTTGCCCAGACCCTGCCCCCATCATGGTGAGGTGGGGCAGCGAGTGGCCCGAACCTCCCCGGCAATGGAGCACCAGGGAGGGAGAATGGCGTGTGACCCCAGCCTCCCTAACCCCCGGAGAACAGGGAGGGCGGGCCCTCGGTGGCAGCAACACTCTGCCCCCAGAACGCCTACAGTAGGCATTCTGGGGGCGGAGTCTGGGTGGGGCCAGGCTGGTGGTTTAGAAAGGCAATGCCTCCCCCTGCCTAGTATACCCGCCTCCCATGGTTCTCTGCTTAGACCAGGCCGGATTTCGAATGGGTGTATGCAGACGTGTGAATGCTTTTGCACCCGGCTCCCTTGTAGGCAAGGAGCCTACTGAACTGGCTAAGCCAGGCAGGAAGTTCTATCTAGCGCTAATGGATTCACTCTGCTTGTTTACATGGGAGGTTGGGTAATCGAGGGGGCAGTGAATCAAAGAGACAAGATGGGGCGTGGTTAATGTTCCCTTCACATCCACACACCTTGTTTGATGACTTTGATGGCAACCGGCACCATGTTCTTCCACAGTCCTTCCCACACCTCTCCGAAATATCCTTCCCCCAGCTTCCTCCCCAGGATGAATTCTGACCGGGGCCGTTCCCAGGAATCTCTCACTGGAGGTGCCTGTATTGATCAGACACATAGAACATTTCATTTTAGGCCTGCACCGTCCAGCTAGTCAGGTAGAGCCAGCTTTATGAACCAGGGCTGAGCAGGGCATTGGCTGAGAAAGCAACCCAAGTCAGCATGGTCCCTTGCCACCAGGCCAATCCCATACAGCACCTCTTCATTCTGATTCTCCTCTGGGGCTGACAGATTTTGTTGGGCCCTGGGCAATGTGTGTGTGTGTGAGAGAGAGAGAGAGCTACACCTCCCCCAACCAGCCCTCAGCACTGCCCGGACTGCACTGCCTGGGGCTCCGCCAGTAATTTAAAGAGTCCAGAGCCCCAGGAATTCTAAACCACTGGGCCTCAAGGCAGCTGCCCATCAGCGGTCCTGTTCTTCTCAGGTCTGTGCGCACTTCTGACCTTCAGACGTGTCCCAGAATCCTTGGCAACGGCTGCTGCCTTTGGAAAGCCCTGGGCACGTTTGCGAGCCCCTGAGACCAGAACTTTGAGACTGCAGGAGTCTGCCACTATTTTCAGACCAGGAATACGAAACCTCAAGGGATCCTGAGGGCTCTGGTCTCTCTCCGGAGGCAGTTGGGTCTCACAGGAAGTGTGAAGACAGAGGAGAGGCGGGAAAGGGTGGGAGGCAGCCGCTCCGATCACTGGGCGCTCCCATTCCACTGGCACCATTCATACTGGTTTGTATGTAAGAGGGTGGTTAATGACAGTCTAGGAAACTCGTCTCTGTCCCCCGCAAATTAAACTTCTCAGTAGAACTGGTTGAAACTTGGAATTTCTGCTCCATGGGAAATTCTTACTTTTCAAATGGGTTTTCACTCCAATTAGCATCAATGATCTTAAAAGCTAGCCTCCAATGTGGAGTGCTTCTTTGAGAAAGCCCTAGGCCATTCTGCTTGAGAAAATCAAAACCAAGTAAAAGCCCCAGAACAAGAGAGACTCCTTAATCTTATAATTAACACCGCAGAGCCTGAAAGCAAAGAGGCTGCTGGACAGAGAAGAGAGCAGCTATTTGAAAAGTGCACAACCTTTTCAGTGACTATAGTGTGAACCCTGAGCGCCTCAAACCATTAATATTGACACATTTCCGTGAAAGAAACACTGAACAAAACAGTTTTCATTTTCTGTTTGTTCAATATTTATTCACTGAAGCAATTTTTTTTGACAGCAGGAAACTTCCCCTCCGCCCCTTCCTCCCCCACCATTCTGGCCCCATTTCTCCCACTGGGGAATTTTTAGATTTCTGTTTAATTTTTGTTTTGGTGCAACAAAAAATTGAAAAAAATTCAGTCATCTGTCAGAATGCCTCTCTCCTAATGTCCGGCATCTCCCCTAGCATATCCCTTCCTCCCCCCTCTCACAACCACAGAACAAGTTCCAAGACTAAAATAAAATAACAGAGTCTCTTGTGAGACGAAGAAGAAAGAAAATGGCTGAGGCCCACAACTCAGTGGTGAGTAGGGTTGCTAGATAGTTTAACCAAAAATACTGACCAACCCCTGCTCTCCCCCCAAAAAAACCCTGGAAAAAATTCTGTTGCGGGGGGAGGGAAAGGGAGAGACCAAAGTTGTTGGGCAAAATAAATAAATAAATAAATCAGCATGGTCCTTTCAGTGTTTGCAGAGTCAGATAGGGATAGGACCAGCGGAGAGGTTGAGCACTAAGACCCAGGGAAGGCATTGCTTCCCCTTGGTCTTTAGGCTTTTTGTCGGTGGCCATTTTGTTTTCTTGATCAAGCCAGAATGCAGTTTCCCTGCGGAACCAGGTAAGCAGGGGATCCGGAGGTGGGGAGGGTGTCAGGAGGCCAGGGGCTGGGCCCAGTTGCCAAGTGTCTGGTATTTTCTGATTTTTTTTACCGGACAGGAGGCAAAAATACTAGACTGTCCTGGTCAATACCGGACACCTGGCACCCCTAATGATGAGCACCAGGGTAAAGATGAGGGTAAGAGGGAAAGAAACTAGGAGGCATGAGTGATGCATACACAGACCTTAGGAATGCAGGGCTGTAACAAGGGGCACTGTACGACTTTCCAGTTTACTGTGTAAAAGGTGAGCAGCTCCTGCATGTTGGGGAAAGCTTGTCCCTTTTGGATGTACATCCCTCCGTCGGGCTCCTTGCAGATGCGGAAATGGCTGACTTTCGCATGGTTGCGGACTGCAAGGGAAAAGACCAAGGAATCATTGAAAGGGAAGTTGAGTCGCCCAGGTGACCCTTGAGTATTGCTGGCTCTGGGCTCAGTTCTGCTCTGATTTACATCAGTGAAATAACAAACACTAACATCCAGCCAGCAGCAGGTTCCCGACCAATGGGAGTGCGGAGCTAGTGCTCGGGGCAGGGGCAGTGTGGGGAACCCTGTGCGCTCTCCTCCACCCCCCACACACCTAGGAGCCAGGCCTGCTGCTGGCTGCTTCTGGTGTGCAGCACAGTCTGCGGTGCCAGGACAGGCAGGTAGCTGCCTTAGCACCCCTGCTGCTCCCCCTGCAGCCACGAGACCCAGTGCCCGACATCCCATGACCCAGTCCTGGGTTGCGACCCACAGTTTGAAAATCACTGACCTAAAGGGTAAGACCTAGGGCCACCAAATTTGGTAAGTGGCTTCCTCTTATAATGTAAAGCAAGGTCAGGGGTTGGTTGGGCCAGGACAAGGTGATGTGCCTGGAATGGGATTGCGTTTCATAAAACCAGACAGAGAAGAGACAGAATCAGCAGGCAAGTGAGAGGGGCTGGCTGGGGACTGGCCCAGCCCTGAGCCTCCCACCCTCCAGGTGCCTTTTAGGGAGGGTGAAGAGGGGGCAGCCCCCCCAATTCATACAGGAACATTGCCGGCTGTTCCCCTTTGTCAGGGAGAAAGGGGAAAATGCCCTGTTTGCTGCATTCCTTACTCTGGCTGGGGAGCACAGGGGACAGACGAATCTGGACCTGCCTCAGCCGGGGGACATGTTCCCCACCCCCGGCTGCACCCGCTGGAGCTGCAGTGACCATGGAGAGGTGCTTCTCACCTGGCCCCATGCTGCTGCGGTGAGAGAGGGCTGGGTTAGTCCTCTCTCCCCCAGGGCAGCCTGCGTCCTGACCCCCTCACCTCTTGCCCCACCCAGAGCACTCGAGTCAAATGAAGCCTGGCGTTAAGGACCCGAATAAATCTTCTAGTGGTCCATCAATACTAACATATGGCAGGGATTTGATACCAGGCAGCTCTTTCTCTAGCAGACAAAGGCCCAACAAGACCCAATGGTTGGAAGCTAGAGCTAGACAAATTCAGACAGGAGAGGTACATTTTTAGCAATTAGCGGTTGGAGTAATTTACCCAGGGACACGGTGCCTTCGCCAGTCGCTCAAAGTCTTTAAATCAAGGCTGAATACCACTGTGGCGGACAGGCCAGTGTGCAAACAGCAGCTGGGAGCTTGACGCAGGAATTTCTGGGTGAGGCCCTTCACCTTGTGACGTGCCAAAGGTCAGGCTGAGCACTTAAAATGGGCTTCTCGGGCCATAAAACCGACTAATTTGCATCCCTATCAGGCCCTGATAGTGTCAAGTGCGGATTTTTAGTTTAATAGTCCACAGGAAAATAAGGGCTACAAAGCTGCCTTTAAATGGCTGAAAATTGCTTATGGCTTTCCTGCTCTGGAATGAGAGCAATGTACTTTCCTTTCCCACAGTGGCTCGGTGATCAATATTTGCACAGAGGGCGCTCAATGGCCTTGCCGTGCATCTGAACAGGAGGCTGTGAAAAGCTTTAATCACATTCCCCCGCGCTCTGCTGCACAGTGGTGACCCGAGCTCCTCACGCCGCAGGTTCCTTCGCCCCAGGGCTTCTCCCCCACACAGGGAGCCCAGCACAGCCCAGGGAAGGGCTGCGGAGAGAGACAGGAACGTAAAACTGACCTTGCCAAGAAGCGCTTTGAGGCGGCTCTCAATTGTGCCGGGGTTGATTTGGCCCCTGGCTGGCCCCAGGATGGAGGCAGGTGACAAGGTGGCTTACAACCATCTGACTTCCCTTCCCCCCCAGATGTGCCTCCCCTGCTTCTGGGCAGCTTTGAGCCCCACTGGCGATGAGAGGGCAGAAAGGAGCCAACAAGAGAGGCCACGCAGCAGGGCCAGATACCACCAAGAGCTTGGGATTACCTGACAGAGAATACTCCCCCCGGTTACTCTCGCTGTCCCGAATGAGGAAGGAGCCGTGCTGATTGGGAGGCGATAGTAGGAGATACTGGGCCTCGTTGCGACTGACTCCGCTGAAGTACCAGCTGCAAGATAAACAAAGGACCGATCAGAGTCACAGAGCCTCCCGGACAGACCCTCACAGCCCGCTGGCCCCTAGAGGCATGGAGACAAAATGTTTCTGAGTAAGGCCCAATAACGCACCGAAATGGGCAGTGCACTTTGGAGAAGTCTAGCCCCAGGGTGGGAAACCTAAGGCCTGGGGGCCTGATGTGGATCCAGCCCCTGAGATTCAGGGCTCCTCCCAGCTTTGGGGAGCCCACGCTGTCTCTCCAGTCCCCCCCTTGACACCAGCCTGTGGGGATGGAGCACACAGATGCTAATAACCTGAGCCCCCCCAGGTGCAGGTGTGCGAGGGGAACGTGAGAAGTGTCTTTCTCCTCAGCTGGAGGCCATGTCCGTGCGGGTTTGTTTTGGGTGTTGTTGTTTTTCACTTGTGGGCAGCCCCCGACTGATTTTTTTCGGTGTGTCAGTGACCCCTGATCCAAAAAATGTTCCCCACCCTGGTTTAACCATTTCTTGCACCAGGGGGCAAACCCGCTGCTGGGGTCCGTCGGCAGCACTGCACTGACCTCCACAGAGCTATGCAGATTGACACCGGCTGAGGAGCGGACCCCAAGGACCCCAAAGGGACTTTGGGGGCTACTCTGTTTTATGCAGAAGGCGGCGGGATACAGAAGCAACGGGCACCATCTGCGCCACCTCCTAAGCTAGATGAGAAAAGACTCGTGGGGTGAGCAGAGCGCACAGAAGAGAAATGGGGAAACCTGGATGTGCTGTTAATGTGCAGGCCGAGGCCTATGTTTCCATGGGGCAGGCAGGGAATGGGAGAATTGCAGGGAATGGAGTCCCCCTGTTTGTGAAGAGGGGAAAGTGACTCTCTCCCATGTGCAGGCAGGTTTAATTTGCATATTTCTCATGTCCTTGCTTAGGAATGGCGTTCAGCGGGTTCTATGTATGCGTACCTGTGTTTGCTCACGTGAGCACGGCCGTGGGGCGAGGGGCGGCGTCCAACCAACCATCCTCTTTGTTTGGAAAAGCACTTTTCATCTGTAACCCAGCCCTTGTTAGCCCAGTAGACACCCGGACACGGGATGCACGTGTGCAGGGCATGCACCCCAGTATTTAAGTAGCTGCCCTTGGAGGTGGCTTTCAGCTCAGTAAGTTCTAATTTGGATGTGTAGCCCTCACGCTTGCTGGGTGTAGCACTGTCCCATCTAAGGGCACCGAGGCCACTTACAGAGAGACTCATGAGTCTGCTCTACAGCCTCTTCTACCAGGCAACTGGCTTCTAGCTCATGCAGTAGTGGCACCAGAGACCCCAGGTTCGATTCTGCCTTTCGGTGTTACAGCTGCGCATGTAAAAATAAGCTGCACAGTTTACTAGCTTATGGAGACGTGTTACTCAGGATTGAATGAACTGCCCTTTGATGTAAATAGGATGAAGTTTAATAAGGACAAATGCAAAGTACACCACTTAGGGAGGAACAATCAGTTTCACACATAGGGTAGGCTTCTCGTGTCTTGCTCACCACAAGTCTGTTATTGCCTCCCAGAATCATATTTTTGTTAAAGTATCACACTATTGATTCATATTTAGCTTGAGGCCCACTATGACCCATAAATCTCTTCTTCAGTATCCTTCCTAGATAGTTGCTTCCCATTCTGTATGGGTGTGTCTAAACTACATGGCTCCATCAATGGAGCCATGTAGATTAGGCTGATTGGCAAAGGGACATGAAGCCGTGATTTAAATAATCGCGGCGTCATTTAAATTTAAATGGCTGCTACGCTGAGCCGACAAACAGCTGATCAGCTGTTTGTCGGCTCAGCGTAGCAGCCATTTAAATTTAAATGACGCCGCGATTATTTAAATCACGGCTTCATGTCCCTTTGCCAATCAGCCTAATCTACATGGCTCCATTGATGGAGCCATGTAGTTTAGACACACCCATACAGAATGGGAAGCAACTATCTAGGAAGGATACTGAAGAAGAGATTTATGGGTCATAGTGGGCCTCAAGCTAAATATGAATCAATAGTGTGATACTTTAACAAAAATATGATTCTGGGAGGCAATAACAGACTTGTGGTGAGCAAGACACGAGAAGTCATTCTTCCGCTCCACTCTGCACTGATTAGGCCTCAGTTGGAGTATTGTGTCCCGTTCCGGGCACCGCATTTCAAGAAAGATGTGGAAAAAACTGGAAAAGGTCCAGAGAAGAGCAACAAAAATGATTAAAGGTCTAGAACATGTGCTATGAGGGAAGACTGAAAGAATCGGGCTTGTTTCACTTAGAAAAGAGAAGACTGAGAAGGGATACGATAGCAGTTTTCAAGTATCTAAAAGGATACAAGGAGGAGAAAGGAAAATTGTGCTCTTGGGCTTCAGATGACAGGACAGGAAGCAATGGGCTTAAATTGCAGCAAGGGAGTTTTAGGTTGGACATTAGGAAAAACTACCTCAGTGTCAGGGTGGTGAAACACTGGAATAAATTGCCTAGGGAGGTTGTGGCATCTCCATCTCTGGAGATATTGAAGAGCAGGTTAGACAGACATCTATCAGGGATAATCCTGATGGTGCTTGGTCCTGCCGTGAGGGCAGGGGACTGGACTCGATGATCTCTTGAGGTCCCTTCCAGTGCTAGTGTTGTATGATTCTATGTACTTTCTGTGCCTTAGTTTAGAATGTCGCTCCTTGGACAAACCACCATCAGACACCCGGGTCCTTTTCTAATGTCGCCCACACGACTTCCCCTTGGACATTAGCCACGTTACAAAGGGAGATTGGCATTCATGCCTTGCTCTCTGCGGCATCTGTGTGCTTTCTCACGCGTGTGGCAAAAAGGGAGCAGAAATCCCAGTTCCGGGTGCCACAGCTAAGGGTTGGCCAGAAACTGCTTCTGCCTCTCAGTGGCAGGGCTGGGCAGATCAGGATGCCAGTTCTAGGGATGTGAAAGGTTAACCCCATGGGGGCTGGAGTAGCTTCCTGCCCGCTGGGGGGAGGGTACTGCTTCAGCCCCATGAAAGGCCTGCTGCACATGGCTAGCAGCAGGGAGGCCTCCCAGCCCATCCCGCCCTTTTAAATCAGTTAATTGGTTAAATATAATATTGAACTGGTTAACCAATAGAATGGGACGTTCCCTCCCTAGCCAGATCACCCTATGCTGCGCCCACGCCCCTGCCCAGCTGCGCCGGCACGGCAGAGAAGCTGGTTGCTGGGTTCCAGCCCATGGGACCTGCGCTGAGCACTTGCGGTGTTTGTGCAGCTGCCGAAGGAGCCGCTGACCAGCTGCTGCCCAGTTCAGAGAGGGCAGCACCCCGCAAACAAGGGCCCGCTCTGGGGTCACCGTGAACCTTTGGGCCCAGCAGCAGTGGATGGATTCGCTCGGGTTCACCTGGGCCTTTCGTTATCGGCTGCCACCGCACGGCAGCTTTGAACTGTTTCCCTCACACGTTGTGATTGGAGGGGAGTAAAGGAGAGCCGGGGACTTTGCCCCAGATGGGAGCCGCGCTTTAGATCCTGTCTGATTACAAGCACTTGACGCTACTGAGGGCACCAGCCTGGGGGATCTTTATGCAGCCGTCAAGGACGCAGGAAAGACTAGAAGAGCATCTAAACTAGGGCCCGGATTTGCCCTTCACCTCCAGAACACCCCGGGTCTGATACAGATTGGAAAGGGAGCTGCTGGTCTTTCTTCCCTGCCTTCGCGATCTCCCCTGTGCTTGGCCCTATTGCCGTCAGTCTCTGAGCAAAGGAGGCCTCGGGTTGGACTAGCTCTAGGCAGCTCAGGCAAAGCGTGTGATTGGAGACAGGGCCTTTAAGGGCTGAGCTACCAGGCGCAGTCTGGGCAGGGTGCTGGGAAGCTCTTTGTACGAGACACAGCCCATCGCAACTGGCCCTGGAATAAATCAATGTTGCAGGCTCTCCAGGCAGCACCCAAGGGCTGTTTTGCACAGTCCCTGCCCTGAGCCAGCCTTGTCTCCAGTCAGGATTATTCCACCGTAACACTGGGGAGGGGAGGGGGGGACTAAAATGTCCATGCACAAATGCCCAAGCGGCCATGCCGTGTGCGTAAGGCTGCAGGGGACGAGGGGCCCTATTATATGCGTGTCTCACCACTCTTCTAATTATTATATCACTTCTTTGTAGTAACGTAGGACCTAGGAAGTCTAATTGTGAAGCAGTCCCCCCCCCTTGTGCTACCAGCTGGAACACCCCAGAAAGAGACAGTCCCTGTGCATTTCCCCTCTCATTTTCTCCAGACGTGTGCAGAATAAATTTTGTTCTGTGCACCAAGGCATGTGCGGACGTGCACTACCCGTAGAAACACATGCTGCCAGCTGCTTCCAGCTGCAGGAGCTCTGCTAATCAGCTGGGTGGCATTTGATTTCTCCTGGGTGGTCGCCCAAGCACTCAGCTTAGAGGGAACACTGAGCCCTGCCCCTAAAAGCTGACAATATAGGGACTCCCCTAAACCGCACTGTTCCTAAGAAACTCCCACTCAGGAATTCTCATGGATGCAAATAGGATCCCAGCTCCGTCCTCCCCCTCCATTCCCTCTAGGCCTATAATTTGTGCATATCCCTTTTTAAAACCATTAGGACAGTGGTCACCAACCAGTAGATTGGGATCTACTGGTAGATCTTTGAGCCTCTGACAGGTGATCCTGACAGGTTTGGCCAAGAGGCTGGCAAGGGCTGGCATGTTAGCTGCTCCTCCCCCCACTGCTGTGCATCTCCTGCCCTTTGCTTTGAAGCTGTCCCCTCAGGAGCCTCCTGCTTGCTGTGCAGGACGGGGAGGGAGAAGAGGGTGCTGATGTCAAGGTGCCCCCTCTCCCACCCAATAGCCTATCTCCACAGAACAGAGAAGGGACACAATAGGACTTGGAACAGAGTTTTCTGGATGCTTTTGGGAGTGGTGCAGGGCCAGGACAAGGGTGAACCTCCCTTAGCTCCACTGCACCACCACCCAGGAACCACCGGAGTTGAACAGTGCCTAGCTGGAGCCAACATCCTGAACTCCTACCCCAGTCATGATCCCCCTCCTGCCCCCCAAGTCCCTGTCTTAGCCCCGAGCACCTCTATCCAAATATCCTCCCAGAGCCTGCACCTGGAACTCCCTCTGGCACCCCAACTGCCTGTCCCAGGCTTAGCTCAGAGTCCCTCTCACACACCAGAACCGGCTAAGCAGTTTGAACGGGTCTGTCCGGGTGCCCACAAATTCCCACCCCAGGAGAGGCTCCCAAGGCTGCTGGGTGAACAGCGCCCCGGAAACTGCATTTGCCAGTGACTGGATCCGCCCAACAGCTTCACAGACTTGGCAGTGGCCACAGCGAGTCGGTCTGGTTCTTGTTTGTCTCGTGCTTGTTTGTTCTTGTTGGGAGAGGCAGACAGGTCAGGCCTGTCCTGGGGGCGGGGGCCAGTGTCATTGCCCAGCAGGGAGCTGGAAAGGGAGGATTTGCTTCCCACACAAGCTCTCCCGGGGTGTGGACTGTCGCTCCCTGCAACACGCTCGCTTGCAGTAAAGTCGCCGAGGAAATCGGCTTCCTCCCAGCGCAGTAGCCTAGCCCCTCCCCCATCTCTTCACCTGGTGTGAAAATTCTAGGGGGCCCTTCCACTTCCTTTGCCGGGGCAAGATTCAAGCACCCATGGAGCTGAACAATTAAATCCCAGGATGCGGCCAACTGGTACCATCAACACCCTGGCCTGCATTGGGAGCAGAATCAGAAGTGCATAGGAAGGTGCATGGTGCATGCAGGCGTCTGCAGCCCTGCCAGAGGTTACCCCTTCGGGAAAGGTTTCCCGTGCCCGCCCACAGGCCATAAGCTCGCCCTCAGTATTCTAGCCCAGTGTTTCTCAACCAGTGGGACAAGTACCCTTAGGGGGACTCGAGAGAAGTCTGGGGGGTATGTCAAGACAACTGACATTTGGAGAAAATTGAATTTTTGTTTTAAGTTTTACAGCATTTTATTATTTTTGTATTTTTTACACCCCAAAATTTCATTGCCCTCCTAGCGACGATGAAGTTGTTTCAACAAATGTGTTGCAATGGTAGAAAAAAATTGTGTCTGAAAACTGTAGGTACGGAGGGTACTTATAATTTTTGTAAAGGGGTATTTTATAAAAAAAAAAAAGGTTGAGAAACACTGTTCTAGCCAGCTTGGGGAATCCTGGCCACATACTAGCTGGGAAAAAACCCAATGTACAGTTGCCCTTACAACCAGATTTGTGTGTCCATTCCACAGTGACGCCTCTTGGAAAAGCCTCTTTAACATTTATTTTCCAACGTAGCAAGCGACGTGGGCTAAAAGCTACGGTGTCCATCTGCCCAATTCCTGACTCCACCACTTGGGCTAGCCACTTCCCTTCAGTTTCCCCTCCTGCAATTTGTATTTTGTGTTTATTTAGCCCAGGTCTACACTAAAGAGGAAAGTTGAATCAAGATACACAACTCCAGCAACGTTAATCTCGATTCGATTTTCTTTACTGTCCCCACAGCGGGAGGCCAATAGAAGCAAATGCTCCCATTGGCTTCCCTTACTTCTCACAGGAGTAGAATACTGGCCAACTATGAGAATGCCCTCTGAGTTCAATTTAGTGGGTCTTGACTAGACGTGCTAAATCAAACTCTGGAAGATTGATTGCGGCAGCGGCAAGCGAAGAGAACCCCTTAGCTTGCAAACTCCAGAGAGGGGCTATGTCATGCCGTTTTGCAGGTGCACACCCTAGCATAAGGGAGCCAGGCTGATCACACGTTAGGGTGGCAAGCCACAAAACACTTCATTGCTGCAATTTCTGAAAATAAAATGACTGTGGCTGCAAAGAACCTTTGGCCTTGTCCTTGACTGGTATCTCGGCCTCCGCTCAGCCATCAAGCATGCATCCCGGGATAAGTCGGGGCAGGTGATGGGTGCAAACAATTGCAGGTGTGTTTGAGAATACCTGGAAATACAGGCGGGAGTTCCAAAAACATGGTCAGTGTCATCCCAGCGCCTCTGCCACGGAGGTGCCAGTGCGTTTTGCCTTTGGATTGCAGCGAGCTTGGCTCCTGCGTCTGAAATTTCCACTCTCCCCGCCAGCCTGTGGGTGCGGGCAGGTGACTCAAGGAGATGGGTTTCTTTGCGCCTGCAGAACTGCACTCGTGATACTGGGCCGTAACGAAACCAGAAGCCGCTTTTCAGAAATCAGGACCCTGATGCGAACGGCAACGCCCCATTCATTTCTGTCTGCCACGCAGATGCTTGCCGGCATAGTCTGCAGCCATCGTAGCAAACGATTAAAGGAAGGGGCTAGGAACTGGGGAGGCATGAAAGTGAGGAATGCATTGCATCAGAGGAGTCACGAATACATCACAGGCTCCTGATCAATTTCCTCCTTGTGACTTTCACGCCTCTCTAGCAATTATTCTAACTCAGCTACTCTCTTCATTGGGCCCATGATGAATTTGTCAGTGAAGGTTTGACTGGACCTTCCTTCCACTGTCCTGCTGCATTGCCAATGGTAATAGCTAAATTGGACTGCAGATTTGTGCTCTACACACACACCCGCACCAAACTGTGTCCCTCCTGATCTAACTGGGGGTTTGATGCCACTAGCAAGAAAAGCAAGAAAAGGTGTGAGACACAGGTGTCCTGGTAAGAGACTGACCCAGCACTAATCAGTGTTAGGACTACACACATGTCATGCCTCCGGCATGTGACAGCCATCAGTGTGTTGATGGCTATTGGTACAACACCCACCCTGCCGTTGGCACTGGGGTTTGGATGGAGAGCTGGGCGATTTTGTTTCTTTTTTGGCAAATACTAAAATCAGCGACCAATGCAGTTTTGGGATGACCAACCCTTTCAGCTTGAATCTGGCAAACAGTTTTGGCCAAATTAAAAAAAAAATAGGGAAAAGTTTTTCAAAAACAGCAAAGCAGTTTATTTGGAAATTTTCGCTCCCTTCGACCTGCACAATTTTTTTTTCGTTTTTATGGATCTCTGGCCCCGAAATCCATTTTTTTGTTCAGTTTAGCCCTCAAACTTCTCTCTCAGTGTGATCAAGTCACAGTAGGACATCAGTGCTGGAAAATGGCTATTCTGGTGCCAGGTCCACTGCATCTCATGGGGAAATAGGGTGGAAGCCCATTTATTTCCTAACGCAACATGCTTTCCCGCTGAGAACTGACTGTGGTGTGTGCCAGTCGGTGCTGGCGCATGTGGATGGAGATTCCGTCTGTCACCCACATTCTGCCCCGTCTAGTCCATAATCAGGGTGAGAATCGAGAGTGCAGAGGTCAGCGGAATAGGCTAAAAAGGACCGGAGGAGAAACCTGAATTGAAACGCGAGTAGGAGTTTTCACGAGCTTGCTTCCAGCAGGCATGTAACAGGCTAATGACACCCTCTGACTCATGGGCCTGCTCCGGGGAGAGTGGAAGTGTCCCAGGCGTGCTTCACACAGCATGTTGGAACTGGATTGTTCGGCGTGGGGAAAGAAACCCCGCCTCCTCGCACGGCAAATTCTCTCCGCCGAGCAGAGAGGGGTTAATGGTCTAAAATGAAAATCATCAAAGGGAGGAGGGGGCGTAGCAGGAGTAGATTGCTGTGGTTGCAGCTTGAGTGGCTGGAGGTGCATCCCATTATGCCAGTGCCTGAGCGGGAGAACTCCACTGACCTGTGATTGTGCTGAACAAGGGGGTTTGTCTGGTAGGGATCAGGGGGTGCAGCCCAGCAGCTGAGCTCTGCAAAGCTCGCGACAGCTGACTCCATAGCCTCAGCCCCCCAGTCTCCCCCTGGCCTGGGAGAGGAGGACGAGCAGCAGTTTGGGGGCCTGATGCAGCACAAAGTTTTGTCTGAACACAGACGCGGCGCTGCTTCCATCCAGCCTCTGGGACCCTGCTAGTGTGAACGGCAGCTACACCGCTGGAAAGGCGATGCACACGGGGACAGTGCATTCTCAACAGGGAGGAGGTGGGGGATCAACGCTCCCTGGGGATCAACGTGTCCACATTGAAGTTATCCCTGTACAATTGTTTCCGTTCAAAAACTCACTGGCTAACCCACACAGCTGCCCCAGGAGGGGACCGGTGTGTTACAGGCCTTTGGTAGCCACAAGCCAGGTTACTGGAGCACCTAGGAGCCCCCGGCTTGGAGCAGGCTCGCGTTGTGCTAGGGGCTGTACAAAAAGCAGCCGTCTCTCTGCCCTGGCCCGGAACTGTGCCTTGTGCAATAACCGAGCTCTGACCTGGGCCCTGACTGCTGATGATACCAAAGCAAAGTACAAATACAAGAGAGACAAGAGACGCAACCAAGCCAGCTGATTGGGGGCAGCCCGAACGCAGGCCCAGCTGCTGTTCTTTGCCCCTGCCGGTGAGGAAAGCTCTCGGTGCCTAGTTTGTGCGGGGCCTTAGCTCACTCTATAGCACTGGTGCTTGAGAGCTAGTTTGAAGGAGATTCCCCCCCACTTTGCGCTTCATGTCCAAAAGTCCATCCCCACCCCCACCCCAGAAAAGGTCTGGGATGCAGATACTTACGGCTGGTGGGAGGTTTCCTCGCTGATCTTCACTATGTAACTGGCAGGGATGTAGCCCAGGGCTGGTTCCCCCGAAAGCCTCTTGGCTAAGACGTAGTCCCCCTCTTCTTTGAGGACACAGACTTTGTCTCCCCGGCTGACGCTCAGCTCCTCGGCACTCCTGGCTCGGAAATCGTACAGGGCACTGAAGAGAGAGGCGCTGGGGGAGTCAGGCACCGGCTCTAGGTCTGGCCGCAGGGCCACAGGATCCGGGTCAAAATACCCCAGCGAGGAGCTGTCAGCAGAAACAGGGTTTGGCCAGAGTTTGTTCCAGAAGGAGGTGAAGAAGCTGAAGCGCTTCCGGACGAGCTGTTCCATCCCTGCCCCAAAGGAAGCTGCCTCCACGCCTGGGGTGGCTAGGCCACAGAATTTCTCCCCGCCACAGCAGGGGCTTGCAGGCCCATGGCGTTAATCCGGAGCCCTGCACATCCTCCGCTCGACTCAGCGCTCCAGGGCGTGGGATGCCAGCTCCGTGCTGGAACTCGCGCCTGGGCTGTCTTCAGCGGAGCACTTCCTAGTCCTCAAAGTGAAACTAGCTTATCAGGTGTAACTCGTTGCTGCCTGGAGCCAGAGCCTCCGACCCGCACACACATCTGGCCTGACAACCACAGCTGGAGTTTGCTGCATTACTCCACGCTGTTTACACATGAAGCAGCAAGGACGCCTTTTGAACTAGAAATTAGCCCAAATTATGTTCTGCTATGTCCAGGTTACTGGCAAGCAGAAATCTCTGGGACCTAGAGAGGATTTGTACATGCAAGTGGCACCTCTCAGTTAAATAATCTGTATTTTGTGTAGGATCTTACACAAAAATCATCTCCCCATATGTGCTAGGGTTAAAAAAAAAAATTCTAGAGACTAGGGTTGCCAGATGGTTTAACCAAAAATACCGAATACCCCCCGCCTCCCCCCAAAAAAAACCCACCAGGGAAAAAATTCTGTTGAGAAAAAAAAAAGGGGGAGAGTCTAAAGTTGTTGAGAAAAAAAAGGACCCGAGAGTTATTAAGCAAAAAAAATTATTATTTTTTTAAAACCCAGCATGCTTTTTAGACTTTTTGGCCCTAACAGGCTACTGGTGGCTACCCACCATCCTGTCTTCCTGCTCCAGGCCAGACAGTTCCCCTGCGGAACCAGGTAAGCACCCGGGATTTTCGCCTCCTGGCCGGGAAAAAATCAGAAAATACCGGACATTTTAGGTGTCTGGCATTTTCTGAATTTTTTTACCGGACAGGAGGCGAAAATCCCAGACTTTCTGGGTCAATACCGGACACCTGGCAACCCTACTAGACGCAGCCAGTGAGAGAATGGAAGAGGAGGAGGTTTTCAGCTCACACAGGTGTGTATTTTTGCCTCATAATTTTTTAAATTTTTTTTGCCACTTACAGCCCTCCTCCTCGGCGGGGATCTGGCATCCGGTCCTTCCTCGAAGTCCTGCCTTGAAGTCCCCTCCATTGCAACTGCCTTGCTCTTAAAACAACAACAACCCTGGAGCTCCTTTGTGGACATGAGCTGTATAAAGCAGGCCATGAAATAAAAGGGAGACTTTTATTGCATGTCTTGTCTGGAATTTACTGTTTACGTGGCCTCAGGTTTGCTATGCAGGGTGACCCACAGTCCCGTTTTGAAAGGGACGGTCTCGTCGTTAAGCCCCTCTGGTTCCTGCCGGTGTCCCTGCTTTTAAAAAATGGGTTCATTGTCCTGTATTTTCTGCCTCCTTCCTTCCCCCAGTTTTGGTAGAGGGATCACCCAGTTAGGAACCATGCTGTGAGGTTCAGGGTGTGTGTGTGTGTGCGCGTGTGTGTGTCCAGTGCCTGAGGCAGGGGGTGAGTGTGCAAGGCTGGTGGTTGAGCACAGCTGTAGTGTGCAGGGACAGCTGCACCCCCTGCTGGCCCATCAGCGCAGTCCTTGCTGCATGCCCACTGTCTGCTAGCAGGCTTCCTCCCACCCCACCCCGTTTCCAGCCACTGGTGGCTGGTTACCTGTCACCTCTGCTGCCCACCCATTGGCCCTTTCCCTGCTTCCCCTCTGACTGTCCTCTCCCTCCTGTGCCCCTTCACCCTCCACCCCTGCTGCTCCTCCATACCCCTCCCAGCAGGGTGTCCTGTTCCCAGCGCTGTGCAGAGACCCAGCCCCTGGTCGGATCATTCCGCTCACCCACAGCCTGGCTGGCCGGCTCCTTCCTTCCCCTGCTGCTGATGGCCAGGCTGGCTCCTGGCAATGCTCAAGTCCTGTGGCCCAGGGCCCTGCATGTACCACAGCCCCACCCAGCACCGGCCAGGGGAAACTTCTCCCCTCAGCGAGGTTCTGCATGGGGAGGAGGGGGAAGTGGGAACGACGACTGTTTCCAGCCTGTTTGTGCCCCGACCCTGCAGGTCTCCAGGCAGAGGGATGGGACTGATCAATATTGGGAGACGTCAATTGCACCGCGCACACACAAAGCAATGGAAAAGATTTCCATTGAGAGCTGAAATTCACTGGCTGGTAATGTAAGAAAAACACTGCTTGAGAACATAGAGTTTGCTTGAAAGATATTTACTTGGTACAGTGCGACATGTGATGTCAATCTTGGGTTTTAATGGTGACACAGCTTGAACTGTTTGAATATCGACGTCTATTGTCATAAATAATTATTGCCCGCCCCCCCCCAATTTCCCACAATTGTGATGATTTAAATTGATAATCAGAAAAAAAAATTAAAAATAGACAGCGATATTATCCATAGAAGTTATAAAAAATAAAAATTGAATTGCAGCCTAGTTATAATTGTCTCTGGAATTCCATTGCTGACTCTCATTTGTTTTTAGGAGGCCAGCTGTTTATGTGAAAGAAGTAAGGTAGAAAAGACAGCGAGGAAGAGATCTCTTGTATTGGTCTGAACAGAGGTTCACTGAATAACACTGCCATTGAAATGGTCTCAGCTACTTCAGAGGCTCACAACACCTACATGGTAAACTTTAAGGGTATGTCTAGACTACATGCCTCTGTTACCAGAGGCATGTAGATTAGACATTCCGACATAGTCAATGAAGCCGGGATTTAAATACCCCTGGCTTCATTAAAATAAAAATGGCCACCGCGCTGTGCCGGCTCAGCTGATCATCAGCAAAGCGTGGCAGTCAAGATGCAGATCGATCGACAGGGAACACCTTTGTTGACCGCTCCTGTAAACCTCGTTTCACGAGACATAAGGGAGCGGTTGACAAAGGCATTTCCTGTCGACCGATCCGCGTCTTGACTGCCGCACTGTGCCGATGATCAGCTGAGCCGGCACAGCGCGGTGGCCATTTTTATTTTAATGAAGCCCGGGATATTTAAATCCCGGCTTCATTGACTATGTCGGTATGTCTAATTTATATGCCTCTGGTGACAGAGGCATGTAGTCTAGACATACCCTAGATGACTAATCCGGAGAGCCTAAGCGGTAATGTTCAATTAAGTGGCAAAACTAGACCATGTAGGTGGTCAGCTTAAGGTCACTTCAACAAAATTCAGATTGTTATAAATGTAACTGAAAACCGCTCTCTTTTGTCTAGATCTCAATTTTTCTTTCCACTGGAGTTAGGCTGTAGGAAATGGATCTGCCAAGGTTTTGCGTCTTTTGACTCACAGGAACCATTTAGATACTGTGGTCACGAGAGCCGTCTACTTACCTGGATATATTATAAAGGCACATTCCTTAAACTTCACACCCCTTGGGTAGCCAATCCTCCAATCCAGTGCTGGGCAAATACCAGCCTGTGGGCAGATCCGGTCTGCCAGGGCTAGTATTTACTGTGCCTCCACTGCTAGGGGAGAACACTGCTCCCATTGGCCCCGGATCGCCATTCCCAGCCAATGGGAGCTGTGATCTCCCGTACGTGTGGAGGTGCTGGGCAGAAATGGCCCAGCAGGGGCTAAACCGCTGCTGTTTTATTGCCTATCCGGCTTCACTCCCTAAGGCTGCAAATCACCCTCCACTCACCGACTTACAAACATGAGCGGCAAAAAGCCCAGGGCTAGCGCCTTAGTCAGTGGAGCGATGAGGATTGGCAGCTGTTGAGGGTGTGGTCTATAGCACCAGCCTTTTAGAGGGGCTGCTTGGAGCCCTGTGCAATTTAGGAGGGTTGGGGGGAAAGGCATTTGGCAAACACATTGACACCCTACCCCCCCCCTTTATTCTGCAGCAGCCAGGTGGTGACTTGCACGCTGGATGTTCTATCGCACTGGGGCAGGTCAGGAGGCCAGACCCATAATCACAACAGCGCCTTCTGGCCTTCAACTGTATGGACCGTGGTTCCAGAGTCCACAAGGCTGCTCAAAGCGGGGGAGGGGAGGAAGGGAGGCGCACAGGTTCCTGAGTGACATGGGCAGGGATCAGAGTCCAGTGTGATTGGCCTCCTGAGAACACAAGCTCAGAAGCATGAGCACTGAACACACACACACACACACACACACACACCCGTTGTAACTTCATGGATGTCGAGGGCCAAAATCCACCCAGGAGTTCATCTGGTGGGTAAATTCACTTTGTGTGAGGAGCACAAGGTCTCGAGGTGACGCATGGGGAGATCACACTGTGGTTTCCTGTGAAACATCCAGAGGCAACTCCTGTTTCGCAGCCACCCCAGAGGGCAGCTGTCAGAGCCCAGGAAGCGCCACTGAGGCAAACCCCTCGGGGTAGCAAAGCAAGGTGAGCACATTACATGGCTCAGGGATGCTGTCCAAGATTCTGAGCAAGCCCAAACTCTCTGCCTCCAAACAATCAGATTTTAGGGACATCTGGGCCCACCGCACAGACTCTGAGCACCACAAGTGCTACCTAACATGAGTCCGCTCCCCATCTACCGTGGAGCTGTGCTCCATGATGGGTCATTCCAGGCTGCTGCATAGGAATTGTGGGGAAGGGGGAACTGGTTGGTATGTAACCACGGATGTACACCAGCTGCTCCCCTACCTACCAGACAGCACAGCAAATGTGCCTTACTTTGGCCTGAAGCCATGACTGGCCTCTGGAGAAGATTAGGATTCGGCAATCGATATGTCAGCATTCGATTGAGCGGGTCTAGTAAAGACCCGCTCAAGCGAACGCCGAGGGCGCCCTTGTCAATTCCGGAACTCCTACTCCTCGCACGGAGCCAGGGAAGTCAACAAGAGCATTATTCCATTGACCTTCCACTGTGAGGCCAGCGCCAAAGCTCAGCTTAAGGTACGTTGACTCCAGCTACGTTTGTTACATAGCTGGAACTGCATGTCACAAGCAGAGCTTCGGCTGCAGGGTAAACGTGGCCTGAGAAACTGCTCTGCACACGTTCTCTTCATGAGCACCAGAGCCCGGAGAAAAGATTTTTTGAGTTTCACCAAGTGGCACTTTTCTTTCTTCTAGCAGAAAAGCAGGAATCAAAGGGACAGGAGGGAAGGAAGAGGTTCCAACCTATAGGGCAAAGGGACACATGCCACATGATCCCCTGGAATATGCATAAAATTCCTCCATCAACTCTGATGTCCTCCCTATGCTCTCCTCCACCCCCAATCTCCTTAACAATGTGCATCAGGCAGAAAATCCACCATCGCTCTGCTTCTTTAGGCATTTTAGCTGAAGCAGTAGGCCTCAGCACATGTCTCCCTGTCTGCTTTCAAGAACGGCTGCGTGCAGCTGTTGTTGGCTGAAAAAGAGAGGGAGTACGGGATTCCCTCTGACCTCTGTCCAGTCCCATGGCGCCAGCTCCTCAGATGGCCTAAATCAAAAGGCGACAGTAGCCGATTTACTGCAGCTGAGGATTTGCTCCAGATTCTTCATTTCTACCAGTGTAGGAGAAGTCAAAAGGCCACTTAGAGCCGCCTCTCCCCGCCCCACTTCCACGTTCAAAAGCCTACAGAACTATGTATGAAGGCTCGCTGTCACCGTGTTGGTCCCAGGACATTAGTGAGACAAGGTGTGTGGAGCAATGTCTTTTATCTGGCCAACTTCTGGGCCCACAAAAAACCTTGCTTTGCCCACCTTGTCAGACCAAGGAACAGCTGATAAACTCTCTCATTAAACTCCCGTCCCCTGTTCAAGCATTATTTGATTTTCGAACAACTTCCAAGTCCTAAAAGGGACATCACATCTGTTTTGGGTCCCTTCCCCTGTTCAAGAACAGGCCTAAAAAGAAGAGAAAAGAATATGCATATCTGTAAATGTTTATGAGCCTTGTACCGCAGGAAGGGGGAGGATACAAGGGCGAGAAAGAGAAGGAGAAAGGGACGATAAAAAGAACAGAGATAACAAGGAAGGACTCGAGGATGTTCGTAGCAAAAGCTATTTGCCCGTGAGTGTTGCAAGTTTTGGGCTGTCCTGGAATCACATGGGTATAAATTATAGCACCATGGAAAAGCACCTCCAAAGTAGGCTCCAAAAGCCGGTTACGTATTTCTTGCTCAGCTGCGGAGCACCTAGGAATAATAAATACACGCCACACTTTGCATTTGTGAATGCATCAAATACAGCACCGAGCATTCCCCACCCAGCACAGCCCCTCCTGGCTGTTAACTAGAGGGATGTGATGTTTAATGCTCCAAGGTTGTGCGTCAGGTCCCGTTACATGGCCGCTGTCAATGCATCTTCCAGCCAAAAGCCTTGGGAGATGAATGGAAACACAGACTTGGGTCCAACGTGCAGCGGTGGAAGGTTGGGGGGCGCCGGGTGGAGCGAAGACAATGCTTGTGACCTCCGACTCCGTATCCCGCAGGGGAGGAATATTCCCAGCGGATGGGGGGGTTTCTTCTCACTTGTTTCTTATGTGAATTGCAGGCTATGCCAGCCGCAGCTTCACAATCCCTGAAACGCATTTGTTCCGTTACAGAACAAGAGGTTTTTTTAAATTGAAATGGGAGATCAGGTTTTCCAACCCCTTGCTGACCCAGGTGGGCTGGGCAATGCGTTGCGATGGACGCCCTGTTCCCAAGGGGGTTGGGAGCCCTGTTGCAAAAGCAGATGCAGCAGGGGGATCCGCCGTGGAAGGGACAGCGCCGAGCAGGAAGACATGGGAGCAGTTTTAACTCAGCCCTGCTTTCCGAGCGTGGGCTCCGCGGGTGGGAAGCAGCCTCCGAGGAGCACGCGGCGGCCAGACGGTCTGCTGGCTGAACGCAGGGCAGCGCAGAGGCTCGCAGGCTGGGAGGGACACCTTTGGGGGCGGAGATGGTTCAGGAGCTCTACGCCAGCAGTGCGGAGAGTCAGGAACCAGCAGAAGCACAGCTGGCCGGGGGGGGAGTAGTACAGGAGGCATCACAGTGGGGGGCGAACGTTGTTAATTGGCCGGCATGTCGGGGCCCTCTTGGAGTGGAGCAGAGCAGCTAGGAGGGGAGCAGTGTCAAGTGTAGATCACCTGAAATAACCTAGGGAGTATGGAAAGAGACTGGGTGGATAGTAAGCACCTCGGGGCAGGGCTCATCTCTTTGTTCCAGGTTTGTACAGCACCTGGCACCAAGGGGCTGGAGCCTCTGGCTGTTATCGCAGTGCAACCGACAACTTGCCAGCTCCTGTCAAACAAAGCAAAGAGGCTCCAGAACCTTCTAATGTATCAGCTCCCCCTTCAGTCCTCTACCACAGCTGTTCCAGGACCTGGAGCCTGGTTTAACCCTCACCCTTCCCAAACACAGACCCCTGGCAGAGGAGAGCTCCCGGGTGGGTGGGAAACCTGTGTCCCCTTGGCCCTAGGGTACCGGACTGGCAGCACAGCGTAGGGGGTCCCTGTTTGTGTTCCATACATCAGGGTTTGGATGGGCTGCAGGTGCCACACGGCCAGCCTGGTCGTTATTTGTCTCCTTCAAGGGTGTGAGAATTGCCATGGTGCTTTCCCCAGGCAAACGGCTGCTAAGGGGGCCCACCAGCCACCCCCACTCATGGACACAGGGGACGGGGTGGAGGGCACACACGGGAGAGCAAAAGTAGCTACCAGGGCCGCTAACACGAGAAGGAACACTAGTGCACCGGCTAACACCAATCTCCCGCTCTGACTTTGTTACAGGGGGACCCGCCTCTACAAATCCCTCTGTCCATCTGGCTCTGAGATCCCCCCCAAGGCCTTCTAGAGATCCCTTGGGACTGTGAGATTGGGGGGCATCCCGGAGGATGCTGGTGAATTCAACCCCCATGCAGTACGTAGGGTGTAAGTTCTTTGTGTCTTTTCATTCTCTTTGTAGAGCATCTACCACGGTGTAGAGCTCCGAGGTGCTGCCTCTACAAATCCCTCTGTCCATCTGGCTCTGAGATCCCCCCCAAGGCCTTCTAGAGATCCCTTGGGACTGTGAGATTGGGGGGCATCCCGGAGGATGCTGGTGAATTCAACCCCCATGCAGTACGTAGGGTGTAAGTTCTTTGTGTCTTTTCATTCTCTTTGTAGAGCATCTACCACGGTGTAGAGCTCCGAGGTGCTACAATCACAGAAATAATAGAGTCTGGTGTTTGTCTATCTGGGCTCCCCTGCACCTTCTCCAGCAGCCATGCTCTGACCTCGCGTTAGCAGAAGGCTGGTCATCTTTTTCTCCGCGTCTCTCCAGTCTTCTTCCCCCATCTGTATTCGCCTGCGCGTCTCTGCTGCCACCGCAGCTGGCCTTCCAGGGCGCTCACCTGGGACAGCAGGACAAACACAGCCCCAGCTGCCAGGCGGGGAATGCTCGGAGCTCCTCTCCCCACCCAAAACTCTGCAGCCTGCACTCCCCACGCTTAAGGGCACCCTGAGATTAGAAGGAGGCTGGTTAATGTTTCAGTCCCATTCCCGAGGGCAATGTGTCCAGGCCTCTGCCTGCCTGGGCCTCGGCGGAAGCAGAGGGACACTACGAGTGAGTACTATTCTGGGGTGCTTCAGAAGGCTGGGCAGTCTCCTGCGAGAGGTGAGGGTGGACCTCTGGGCTCTAGGTTGGAATCTGAGAAACGTGAACCCCCGGCAGCAAGAATCTCCTACCAGCCCTGCTTTGCCCTCCCCTGCCTCCTGCTGCCCTCAAGCTCCTGTAGCTACCTTCCCCCCCTGCCCAGATGGTCGTTCCCACATCTGAGGGAGGGAAAAAGCCACACCCACCACACTTCACAGCTTTATATAGTGCACTTCCATGCTGTTCACACATGGGTCGGGGAAGAGCCTTGGTACAATATGAAGTCCTACCTGTTTCCGTAGGGACAAGACGGTTTTTTCCAGGTGGGCCACAAAGGACTCCAGGCCTTCCTGGGAAGAACGGCTGTGGGAAGGCTCTTCGTTTCTGGAAGCAAGGGCACAGAACACAAAGGCTGTTGTGACAACATGCGCTCTTGAGTTTCCGCACTACATGGGTATCTAAGGGTACGGCTAGACTACATCTTTTTCCGATTCTTTTCCTATCTAGACTGGACCAAATGTCGGATAACCCCCCTGGTTTAGGAAGCCCCCTGACTCCCTGTGGAACGAGGAACACGGGGCTTCTAAAAGAGCACGTTTGCTCTTCCGCAAAAGGAAGAGCAAACGCATTCCTTGGATGCGGAACAGTTTTGCGGGGATCTCTCCAGAAAAGTGTGACCCAGGCTGTGCGGTCAGGCTCTGGGTTTAATATTCCTGCTTTTCTAAAGCAGATGTCTGATTCTCAATGGTTCGTGAGCCAAGAGTCACTGGTGATATGTCCGTGTAGCTTTGCCTAATTTGCACGGTCACTTACCATGACTGAGCGTGCAAACCCACTGTGGTGAATCCACGGACTGATTAGATGTGCAACAGCAGATTTTTTTTCCTGGCTGGTCCTTAGACCTGTGAGATTTTGAAAATCTGCCCCTACAATGCTCATTATCTCTTGTTGTCACTCTGCTCTCACCAGCGATGACACTTCACAGGAAAGGAGCAGCACAAAACACCTGCATATTTACTGTCAATAATACAAGACCCGGATCCAATACTCATTAAAATTAACGGAAAGATTCCCAATGGACTTTGGATGAGCCTCCAAATTAGTATTTGTGCACGATCATTGTTTCTGAAACAGCACCCTAGCTCTCATCAGGGCAGAAATCCAGCACTCTCCACACACCCGTTTATACAGCCATGTAGAATGGACTATATGCTTGAGAGAGTTTATGCATTGGTCTGTGTGTCCATCTGCCTTTGAGTCTGTTTGTTCAAGAATTCCTCCTAAATAGTAACAGCGAGGACCATCATGTTTGGTAGGCAGCTTCCTCGTATCCTAACTTAAAGCAAGGTCAGGGGTTAGTTGGGCCAGGACAAGGGGACATGCATAGAATGTGATTGTTTCACATCAAACACAAAGGGAGGGGAGTGAGAGCAGGGACTGTTATACTGATGAATGACCACAAGGAGGCAGCAGATGTGCCAACTGCAGGGAGGAACCACTGGCTGCAGCACAGCCCCCACCATCCTGGGGTGCCCCTAAGGAGCAGCCATCACCCATGGGGCTCCAGGCCAGCCATGGGCAACACCAGATAAGTCTTTTAGTTTGATATATTTCATTTTGCAAATATTTTTGCAGTCTAGTCCTCAGCTCGGGCTGGCAGATTTCAGATGGTCACATGTGTGGATTCTCAGAAAATTAAAACCTTCCTGACACTAGACAAAGGGAAGGGGAAAGTGGAAGAGGTACCGCACCTTGGTGCAGCCGGGTTGTTCTTAGAAGGGTTTTCTTCTGGGTAGCTGAAGCCGGGAGATCTCTTGCTCCGGAATCGCTGAGAAAGAGCATTGAACTGCCCTCGTGTTCTGCAGTCTGGAGGAAGGGAAAGGAGAGTTTGGAGGGATGCTCAGTCTGCAAGCCCGGCCATTTTGGCTTGAATTCTCCCTCACCCCCCTAGCCTCAACCATCATCATCTATGCAGCTCTCCCAGTTCCATCAAGCAGCTCTGAGTTGGGGTGTTCCGCTGCCCAAGTGCATGGAGTTGGAACCTCTCCACAGCTGGAGCCCCATGCAATACGGGGTGAGAGCATCAGGGAGCCAGCTCGGCACCCCGACTCTTCCCCCCTCCCCACTGCCACTTAGAAGTGCAGCCCCCCATGTCAGAGGAGGAGTGAGGTCGTGGAGTGTGGCGGACCATGGCCCCTCCTTCCTCTGACATGCTGGAGGGAGGCGGGCCTGCCGAGGGCACCAGCGTCCGGTACTCCTCCATTTGAGAGGAGTAAGGGAAGCCAACGGGAGCTTTTGGCCTCAGAGAGAGACCGCGTAACAGGGATTCATCCCAGCCTGAACCCATGTGCTGACTGGCACTACCGCGGCTCTGTGCCCACCTTCACAGCAGTCCTGCCACATGCGAAGATCGACCGCCGGGATCTCCTCGCAGCTGACCATGCCCTGGGGGTAGGGTGCCACCCGGAACACATCCCTCTGGAGCTGTTGGACGTGGTCGCTGTTGTCACAGATGATGCGAGCCAGCGATGTCTGCCTTATCTGAGTCACCTGGGCCGGGGTGAAGACTCCGGGATTCCCATACCAGAACCTACGCGGGATTGTGACACACAGAATCACCAAGGCGAACAAGCAGTAGGGCAGGTGAGGAAAGGCAAGGCAGGGCTGTGCAATGGGTAGGGCACATGTATCTGCATTTCAGGACTTGAGATTAGTTTGTGACTTAAGTGGACTTGAGTTTAAGAATATTAGAACGGCCATACTGGGTCAGACCAAAGGTCCATGTAGCCAGTGTCCTGTCTTCCGACGGTGGCCAACGCCAGGTGTGCCAGAGGGAATGAACAAAACAGGGAATCATCAAGCGATCCCTCTCTGCTCATCCATTTCCAGCCTCTACAAACAGAGGCTAGGGACACTACCCTACCCTTCCTTGCTAGTAGCCTTTGATGCACCTATCCTCCATTAATTTATCTAGTTCTTTTAAAACCCCTGTTAAAGTCCAGGTCTTCACAACATCCTCTGGCAAGGAGGTGACCCCTCGTTCTTATGTTATGGAAACAAGTAAATCAATTTTTCTTCTTCACTCTCTGCACACCAGTCATGATTTTATAGACCTCTATCCTATCCCCCCCTTAGTCTCCTCTTTTCTAGCTGAAAAGTCCCAGTCTTTGTAAACTCTCTTCATAAAGCAGCTGTTCCAACCCCCTCATCATTTTTGTTTCCCTTTTTGGAACTTCTTCCAGTGCTTTTGTGAGATGAGGCGATCCCATCTGCATGCAGTATTCAAGAAGTCTGAAAGTCTCACGTGTTCTAAAGGGCAGCTCCTCCAGTCCCACTCTCCCCCTCTCTATGGGATGACTAGAAAAATCTGTTCCTCCCACGGCAAGCTCAGAACTGCATAGCTCTAGCATTGCGGGTTAGCATGGCAAAGCCCCTGGCTCCCACGCCTCCTGCCTGCATTCTTTCTGCAGGTATCCAGAGCTCTCTCTGGCACTACGGACATCCCATGCACCAATCCACCCAGAATTAGGCTCCCAGCCCTGCCCCTACATCCTGACTTTTCCAGCATTCCCATGTCAGAGACAGCAGGTGATACCACTTAAAAACCTGGAAAGTACCAAGGAAGCCCCAAGTGAATGAATCTTTAACTAAGAGCAGAATGCCATGCCTGCACTGCCCTAGGGTATATGTCTAGACTGCATCCCTCTGTCGGCAGCAGGATGCAGATTAGTCAGGTCGATATTGCAAATGAAGCAGGGATTTAAATATTCCCACACCTAATTTGCATAAAAACAGCCACTGCGTTTTGCCGACCCCACAACTTTGTCGCGCAAAAAAGCCACGCGC